AGGGCGGGTGGAAGGTGCGGGGACAGCACCCACCCCGAGGCACCTTCTCCCAGCTTCCAGCCCCTGGTCGCAGGACTCGGGGACACGGGGCTGCTTGGGCATGGCAGTGCTGGCCAGCCCCCCTCCCCTCCGCTGGCCTGTAACCCCACATGGCCACCGCCTCGGGCTCAGGAAGGGCATCAGCTAGACTCCAAGGAGGACCAGCCAGGGTCCACTGCCCCACAAGGGGCTGGTCGGCGACGGAGAACACAGCTCCCCCGCCACCGGCACCAGCCTCCCCGCCAGCTTCTTTCAAAGTTGGGAGTGTCTTTTGTATTCCAAAGGCCAAAGGGCCAAGCTTGCCTTTAATTAAAATGCACGTCCTTTAATTAAAGGCCCCATAACACATGAAGGGCATCCACTGAAATAGGACGTGTGACACAGTCATTTCCCTGCTGTTAATTACTAATTAATGAAGCTATTTCAATTAATAGCTTCCCCACCTCACTCCCCCTCTGACAGGCCCCGTGCTGGGGCGCGTCCTAGAATCAGACACCAGCTCCCGTGCCAGCAGCCACCGTGCTGAATATTCATGCCACGACCTCAAAGCTTTTCAATTAAACATAATAAAATAAATCCCAGTCAAAGCGCAGGCCAATTGTAGCTCATCTCCTTCCTCGGGCGCCCGAAGAGGGGGACCGGACGGCCCGCTGCAGACAGGACGGAGCATGGCCGGTGGCCCCTGCATGTCCCCCTGGTTGTGAGGTCCGACTCACCCAGGGGGATGGGTGTCCAGAAGTCCCCGAAGGGGCAAGTGGGGACTCCCAGGGCACTGCAGTCCTGCAGCCAAAAAGACCGCAGCCAGAAATGGAGGGCCAAGGAGGGTGGCCCAGAGAGGTGGGGGGCCGTTAACATGTTCATTAGGAATTTTAAGTGGCCATTAAAGATCCTGCTTTAATTTTTTTTTTTCAACGTTTATTTATTTTTGGGACAGAGAGAGACAGAGCATGAACGGGCGAGGGGCAGAGAGAGAGGGAGACACAGAATCGGAAACAGGCTCCAGGCTCTGAGCCATCAGCCCAGAGCCCGACACGGGGCTCGAACTCGCGGACCGCGAGATCGTGACCTGGCTGAAGTCGGACGCTTAACCGACTGCGCCACCCAGGCGCCCCAAAGATCCTGCTTTAAAGAAACGAGGAGAGGGGCACCTGGGTGGCTCAGCTGGTTGAGCACCGACTTCGGCTCAGGTGATGATCTCACGGTTGGTGGGTTTGAGTCCCGCATCGGGCTCTGTGTTGACAGCTCAGGGCCTGGAGCCCGCTTCGGATTCTGTGTCTCCCTCTCTGTCTGCCCCTCCCCCGCTCGTGCTCTGTCTCTCTTAAAAATAAAAAATAATACACATAAAAAAAAGTGACCTTATAAAAAGAAACGAGGGGGAAAGTCATTTGTGGTGACCACGTGTGGGCGGGAGGGCACCCAGAAGCCTGTGTGGGGTCTGGGTCTGAGGACAGGACTCAGGGAAGCCTGTGCCCCCACCCGAGGGACATCCGGAGTCTGAACCCCCAGCGCCCCTGCCGCCTCCTTGCTCAGGTAGGTGGAGGACAGCCCCGCCTGGAGGACCCAGCCCCCGCCCCCAGTGTTGAGTCACCGGCCGGCGCCCCAAGCCCGGCCCCAGCCCCTCCCCCTTCCCCTCCGCGTCGGGCTCCTGCCGCGCTGTCCAGCCTCCCGCCTGCCCTGGCCCGCCCTCGCCGCAGGGTCCCCTGCACCTGGAACATCCTTCCAGCCCGTTCCCTCCAACGGAGCGGAGTGGCAGGGCACCCACGGACAGGGCACTGAGCAGCCCGCCGGAGGCCCCTCCCACGGCACCTAGAGGCGGCTGGACGGCCGGACGCAGCCCTGTCAGACGGCGCCCTCTGTCGGCCAGCTTCAGGTGACAGCAGCCCGGGCCTCTGGAGGTGCCTCCAGGCAGGGCCGCAGGGGCACACACCGACTCCCGCACCCGCGGGGGCAGCGAGCTGCGAGCACGGTTGGGTGTGCGGTGCAGGAGGCCGGCCCGAGCCCTACGCCTCCCGGCTCTGCTGCTTTCGCCCCCGTCGCTGCCTGACCTTGGTCCCCGTCAGCCACCGGGACCCGCCAGGGCTGTTGACAGGGGACGCGTCTGAGCCTGCGAGCGGCAGATAACACAGGGCTGGGCCCCCACCGGGCTGGAACACCCTCTGCCAGCAGCACCCTCCCTGCCAACAACCGTTTCCCCCAGACTCTGCAGCCCTGACCGAGCTCCAACACTGGCCTTGGAGCATCCAGCCCAGAGACGGCTTCCCAGATCAGGAATGGCCGTTGCCGGAGGGGGCCGGGCCCCTCTGCTGGGCACCCGGCCTGTGTCCCCAAATCCCACGTGCCTGCCTCCCTCCTCTGACTCTGCGGAGGGGACCGAGTGGGACCCGATATGGCGTCCTGGGGGCCTGGGGCCTCAGTTCACACACGTGTATCTTGGTTCTCCTTCTGAGCAGACCCACCATCGCCTCCTGTGTCCCATGTTCCTTCAGGGGCTCAGGGTCGGAGACCCTCAAGGAGTGAACAACCACGGGAAGGGCCACCTCCTTGCTTACACTCTCAGAGACCTCACGGTTTGCTGTGGGTTACGAAGGTGTTAAAGGCCTTACCCCGACAGCCAAAGGTTGAAACAAGCCAGGGGTCCACCGCAGACGAGTGGGCGAACAGGTGTGGCCCGTGCACACACGGGACTGTTACCCGACCGTAAAAGGGAAGGACGAGTCGACACCTGCTACAACATGGGTGGGGCTCGAGGACACCACGCCGAGTGGAACAAGCCAGTCCCTGAAGGACAAATACTGCATGACTCCCCTTATGTGAGGGGCCTGGGGCCCTCACACCCATAGGGACAGGAGGCGGATGGTGGGCCCCTGGGGGCCGGGGTAGGTGTTGTTTAATGAAGACAGGCTTCCCGTTCTGGAAACGGTGGGTGGGGACGGCCACGCGGCAGTGTGAACGCGCCAACATCCTGCGCCGCCCGCTGGCAGCAGTCATGAGGGCCGACCTCAGCGCCCGCGTCCCAGGACCGTCACCGTGTTCTGCGCTGCAGGACGTCGGCCGCGGGGGGCCCTCCGGGGCTGGGCTCCTCCTCCGCCGGGGAAAACCTCCAGCGGAGCACACGTGAAGGCCTTTGTGGTAAATTAACATCCCTAGAACATTTCCACGCCGCCCCCCAGCGCCTCTCCGCGTCTCCGCGTGTCCACGACGCCCCCCAGCGCGTCTCCACCTCCACAAACAGGCCTGACCTATGGAGGCCAGACTCATTTTGTAATCAGAGGTCCGTCTTCGGGTTCTTTCTGATCACAAGTGGGGGCGGCAGGGAGCAACGTGTACTCACACGGAGCTACCCTCCTCCTCCTCGAGCGCACCTGGGCTGTCTGGGCCCGGTTCCGCGGGAGCCGTGACAGGCAGGCCACAGCAAGGCCAGAGGCTCCATGCCACCGCGGGCGGGTTCCCCGGGTGGAGGGGCACCTCCTCCCTCGCCGCCCCTGCACCTTCACCTCCACCTTCCTTCCTGCATGTGTCTGCTCAGGGGGCCGCCCCTGACCGTCACCTGCAACACTCCCGGGGCTTCCTCCGGGGTGAGCTCAACAAGCTTTTTAATACGTGTTTATTCTTTTTAAAAAAGGAAGATTGGGGGTCTGGGGGGTGCTCAGTCGGTTGGGCGTCCAACTCTTGACTTCGGCTCAGGTCATGTTCTCACGGTTCGTGGGGTCAAGCCCCACATCAGGCTCTATGTTGACAACACAGAACATGCTTGTGATTCTCCCCTCCCCCCCCGCCCTTCCCCCATTCACTCAAGCACTCTTTCTCTCTCTGCCCCTCCCCACGTGCTCGCCAACTCACTCTCTCTCGAGATGAATAAATAAAAGCTTCAGAAAAAATAAATAACTAAAGGAAGGTTAATAAAATCGCAGCCTTCCCTTTCCAGTTTAATCATTTAAAAAAAATTTTTTTTCAACGTTTTTATTTATTTTTGGGACAGAGAGAGACAGAGCATGAACGGGGGAGGGGCAGAGAGAGAGGGAGACACAGAATCGGAAACAGGCTCCAGGCTCCGAGCCATCAGCCCAGAGCCCGACGCGGGGCTCGAACTCCCGGACTGCGAGATCGTGACCTGAGCTGAAGTCGGACGCTTAACCGACCGCGCCACCCAGGCGCCCCCAGTTTAATCATTTAAATAAGTCTGGTGTGACCTCTCCACATTCTTAGTTCTTCTACATAGACATCTTGCAAAATCTATTACAAACTCACGAGATGACCAGTTTCTCGTTATGAGAGAGAGAAGGACAAGGTGGGAGGGCTCCCTGGTCCCCAGAAGCATCCCTGGCAGAAGAGGGACCCACAGGGGGTGCCGGGGGGGGCCCCAAAGATGGGCGAGGACATCCGGCCCACAACCCCCAACAGCCTCCGTCAGACCCACAGTTCTGGCCCAAGGCACAGTCTCCTGAGGACATGTGGTGAGGCCAGAAGCCAGTGCTGGTTGTCATCACTGGCGGAGGGGGTCACCTAGTAGGCGGGGGCCAACTGCTAAACAGCCCGCAGTGCACAGGACGGCACCCCCCAGGAAGAATGATCTGGCCCCAGGGCCAAGAAGCAAAGCAGAGCAGGTCTGAGGGAAGAGTCCAGCTGGGTGGTGCCCCTGCCCCTGTGATGACAGACAGGCAGCCCTCCCACCCAGTGACCACGTGGGCACGCAGACCTACGTGGGACAGACTGTGACAGTGCAGCTGCTACTCAAAATACCAATCCCACTCACCCCTGCCAGCCCACGAACCCCGGGGGAGGGAGCGATCACCTCACTGGCAGGTGGAGAGACTGAGGCCCACCAGGGCTGCCCGGGCTCTGCTGGGGCCCGTCCCCCTCTGCTCACACACCCGGGATCAGGGCTGGGAGGCTCTTCAACACAGCCCGACGCCCCGAGGCGGGCAGCACTGGGTCCTCGGGGAACCGTCAGGCCGAGGCGGCTAGAGGTCCTCATGGGTAGGGCTCAGGTCCACGCGCTGGGCCTCTCCAAACAGCAGAAAGATGCACAGCCCCAGGCTGCTGATGGCAGCCACCAGGCTGAACATGGACGTCCAGGAGCCCGTGGTCTCGATGAGGTAGCCTCCCAAGCACACGCCCACGACACCTGCACCAGAGGCGGGCGGGGCAGCCCTGAGGGGAGGGCCGGGGCGGGGACTGGGGCTAGGGTACCAGGAGGGGAGGCCGGGGGCGGCCTGAGGGACAGAAGCTGAACTCAGGTGTCCGAGCTCCCAGGCCAAGGGAGGGCCGGCCTCAGAGGGTCCCAGAGGGCCAGAGACCTCACGGGCTGTCCGGCATACTGCCTCTCACAGGTCCTCCGTGGGGAGTGAGCCCCAGCGTTCTCATCCAGCCACTCAACCCCTGGAACCCCGGGCCTTGAGGATTTGACTCACATCTGTTGGTCAAGTGAGGGCTGGGGTGCTCGCCGTCAGAAAAGTGAACGTTCGCCCCGGACCAGCTCCGGGATCTCACTGTCCCCTGTCCCCCTCCCCGCTGGTCTGACACCGGGGGGGGGGGGG